GGATGGAACCCGTTCACAGAACTTGACCCTAAAATTCCCTTCGGGTGGCGATGTTATCCTTCACACAGCAGGAGGCGCACTTTCCCCCACACCCTGCTATGAGATGGTTTGCCGCGTGGCAGAGAAACTGATTCATGTTTTTTGTTGCTGTTGTCAAGCTCCTCGGCGGACACCCTCCGGCGAGGAGATGGAGCAATGAACCGGCACGCGTGCAGGTAACCAGGTGGACAAACACATCGCAGCATCGTGAGAGCAAGTGGCTGTATGGTGATGCCCTCATCCAGCAGTGGATTGATCATGGGCGACGACGATGATGATGGTGGTGATGATGACTGCCCCCTCCACCACCAGGGCACGTGCCCCAACCACGGCACGCCCACGCTTCTTCACAGTCGGGAGTTTGCCTTTCGCTGCAAAAATATTTTCGTCTCCGCTGACAGAGAAAACATTTCCCACTCCACTCACGCCGGCTTTTTTGGGACTTTTGGAGCACGAGGCTTGAGGGGAGGTGGCGAGGGGGATTGGTGGGAGGGAGGTCTGGTGGGGGGGGGAGGTCTGGGGGGGGGGGGGGGGGCTGTGCAGCGGTTGTAAGTGGGGAGCCCGCAGGGGGCACGGGATGTAAGAGAGGCGGGGACGCGAGGTTATGGGATTGATACATCCGTCTGGGAAAGATGAGATCTCAAAGGTGGCTGGAGTTGTTCGCGGGGCTAAATGCCGTGTTAGATGGAGCACCGGGGCCCGACAGTGCTGAGAGTCTGGGTTTGAATCCAGGTTCGGGCCACGTTTTCAAGTTTGTGGATGGATGTGCGTTGAGCTTTTTTCGCGCCGTACGGAGCCAACACACACAACAGGCGGTTTTAAAGACGCGCGTTGTCAACTTGCTAAATATATATATATATTCTTGGGTCTTTCAGTAAAGTCGCGTAGATAGGTTCAAAGAAAATAACCAGAAATAACAGGAAACTAGAATATGAATTCCTGCAGTCACGAAAGCTTTAGGTCATGGTGTATTGAGTCGATGGTCTGATTATGGTACTGCATATGGCAACTATGTTCAGGAGCTCGATGCCAATGTCGAGGACTGCTGACCACGACGAGAGGGCTTCAGCAGAGACAGAGAGAGTTCGTGTCGTGCTGCTGTTCCTCCTCCTCCTCCTCCGTTGAAGGAACGCAGACTCCAATGGGTTTGCTGCAAGGTCCCGTTGTGTGGGTTGCACGGGCACAGTCGCACGACAGATGCTTGTGTCTTTAATGTCTCATGTATGAATGAGCTGTGCGCAATGGTGCCGGATTAAGACTCTGTAGGCCCCCTGGGTTCCAGGTACTGTGTGAGCGACCCCAGTAATATTTCCAAAAGGAAAACAAAGTTAAGGAAAAATAAAATGTATTCTTACAAGGCTAACAACAAATGAAATTCGGCATTCACTAAATTAAAGAACTTTCCACTTAATCTCTGGAGGCTCTCCAGCTGCCAGAGGCCCCTGGGCTGCAGCTCCTAAAGTGATAGTTTGAAATTGACCTATTTTCAATTAGTAAACGGGCGAATTTGTGTCTTTTCGTTCACATAAAGTCAGAAAACAACAACAAATGAATCACAATTAACATGTATTTATACTAAAGTAATACAAAATTAACTACGAAAGATTTAGACACCAAGGCGCACTACCGCAGGCGGGACTGGCCACAGCGGACCGAGTTCTCTGTGGGGAGGAACAGCCTAAAACAAACTACTCACTTATACATCATTTGTAGTACTTGTTGTATTACTTTAGTATAAATACATGTTCATTTTGATTCATATGTTGCTTTTTTTTACTTTACGTGAACGAAAATAGACAAATTCCCCCCTTCATCTCATAGAAAATATGTAAATTTCAAAATATCATTGTCCTGGTCACAAAAGCAAAGTTTGTGAGGAATAATATCCATTTTCTCTACTTTCGAGGCAGAAGCAATGAGGAAATAACACTTACTTCCCGGGAATAAAAAATTGTGTTACATAGTGTCATCAGTGAGCTCCCCCGACAGACGAGGATGCTGCTGCTGCTGCGTTGGCTGCGTCTCGCAGACCGCAATGCCCAGCCACCGCCAACTCAATGACGCCAGAATCTGTGTGGCCGCAGAGAGGTAGTTAAAAACGGGCACGGCATGAGATGGAGAAGGAATGGGCTGAATGGGCTGAATGGCCTCGAGCTGTGTGGACTAGCCCCGTAAGCGAGTCTCCTGTCGTTCACGCGCGCGCCTCGTGCTCCTATTGGTCAGTTCCCCCGATAGACAAAGACACAAATTGACTGCAGGCCGTCAGGGTTGAGATCGGGATCGAACCCACGATCTCCTGTATACCAGGCGAGGGAAATGACATCTCGCCACCGCGGCGCACCCGGCTAGTTGCGTGACATTATCAGCTGGGGCCTCTCTCTGACACAGGGCGATGCATTTTTGATCGTTGCGGAGTTCATTGGAGCTGTGTGAAAAACCCAACGAAATAAATGAAACAAGTGAACTGTTGCGATCACCGGGAGTGATATTCGCATCGGGGGTTTCGCTTTACCAATCCACGCACACTGCCCGGCGCGGGGAAGTATGGTCAAAACAACCCTCCAGTGACCAACACGCGTTTCAAGTTTCTTGCGTTTATTTATTAATGCAGGGAGTGTCATCTCAAGGGGGTCGTGGTTTCGTCCGAGAACGCACGCGTACATTTTCACGTTACAGACAACCGCAAGAATGACCGGTTTTTTTTTTACGGATTTAAAGACGCACTTAGACCCCGCCCCCATCTCCCCCGCACCCCCCCCCCCCCCGTGTAATAAAAAAAAAACATTTAGGGGGCGCGTCTTATAATCCGGCACATGTACAGAAGTTTATTGCCACAGTCAACAACGTTGCTGCCACCACGGCCGCGTGCTCCAATAGTTAACGTACTCTACAGATTGCAAGGCGTGGCGATTTCCCAGCGTCCACTCCTCTGCCCTTCGTGATTTCTTCACGTGTCCCGCTCTCGTTTCTCGCTGTCCCGCGACGTCGCAATTTCCGGGACACGTTTCTTGTTTAAAAAAAAAATCTTCTTTCGTTCGTTCAGAATAACGCCCCCACTGCCGCCACCACCACCACCCTCCAGAGTTTGACCACCCCCATCAATGTCGATGAATTTTTTTTGTTTTGTCAGATGGCCGAACAAGCTCCAACTCCACCGTGACAACGCACGAGACCCACGGCAACATCGTCCGATCGGCCGCACAGCCTTGAGAACATCGCAGGCTCCACTTCACAGTTCTTTCGGTGGACTTGCGTCAAAGATTCCCCGCCCATAGCCTTAACGGACTGTTGGGGGCAAATGCACGGCGCACTGCAGGCGATGGGCGGCGAACAACCACGCCTGGCCGTCTGGGTACCCCCCAGTGCTGAATGTTTACACACCAACCCGGGGGCTCATTTGAGGCTGAGTCGACCGAGGAAAGTGCCCGAGACGTGCTCAGATAGAAATCGTCCCCGGTGTTGGCCTTGAGCGGGGATCGTCGAACTCGGGACGCCGGGTTCGCAGCTCGGCGACGCTAACCGCTGCGCTGGATCGTTTCTTCGGTGGACCGTGTGCCACCGCAACCCAATGAAACGCAGCCCAGATGTGGCACAGTCAGAGTTGTCATCCGTCCGGCCACTTGAAGGACGGCCCAAGTGGGGCGACGATTAAGGAATGTCGCCTCTGTCCTGTCACAGGATCACTGTTCACTTAATGGCAGCGAGAGATGCTGATGAATCCTTTTTATATATAGATACGGCGAAGACGAAACCCCTCCATGGTGCCAACGTGCAGACAACAACGGGGATGGAGTTCACGACATTCGCAGACATTAATGTTGCACATATAGTGTTGGTGTCGGGTAAATAACATAACATTGTTGAGAAATGAATCGGAGGCATTGCAAGTCTTGCCAGGGTGTTCATCGTACGCATTGTACAGGAGGGCCGCAAATTGACAAAGTCCCGTGTACTGACACAGAGAAGCAGTGGGCGGCCTTAACGAAATCGTGCTGTGTCTGTGTGCAAGTCCCCTGTTGAAGTCCACTGCACTTGGCCCACCACCACCATCATCATTTATCATGAGCGGCATCATCGATGTCCCACGGCTTTAATCACAACCGCCTGGAATGACTCTTTGTCTCACTCCTCTCGACCCACTCGGAGCTCACAGGATCGTGTCAATGGATGTCGGGAAAATTTTTTGTCGATAGATCTCGGATTTTTTTGTCGATAGCTCTCGGTGGGTTTTTTTATCGATAGATCTCAGTAAAACATTTTGTCGATGATCTCGGTGATTTTTTTTGTCGATCGATCTCGGTGGATTTTTTTAATCGATAGATCTCTGTTAATTTTTGTTAGTCGATAAATCTCAGTGGATTTTTTTGTCGATGATCTAGGTGGATTTTTTTGTCGATGATCTAGGTGGATTTTTTTTGTCGATGATCTAGGTGGATTTTTTGTCGATGATCTCCGTGGATGTTTTTGTCGGTAAATCTCAGTGAATTTTTTTTGTCGCTGATCTTGGTGGATTTTTTTGTTCACCGCTTTTTTTTTTCTCCTCCACATTTTATTGTCTGGGCGAGTTGAGGATTTCTCCACTAGTTTACTCGCGAGTGAGATTTTTTTGTATTTTTTTTGTTTACCTGTAGCAACGAATGGAAATCGATTACTGTGACCTTTAGTAAATCCCTCCCACCCGCACTTCTATAAAATCATATTCACACGTCACATTTTGTTGGAGCACCATGCTCTCTCTTCCTTGGTCAACTATCCTTTCCAATCATCCCCTTTGAACGTTTTCACAATCGACTGTAATTATCATGCACATTTACTAAAGACAAATATTCCCTCCCCCCCCTCCCCCCCCCCCCCCCCCCCCCCCCCCCCATGTAGCCTTAACAGACTGTTGGGGCAAGTGCTGTTGATGAGCACCTATGAAGGCCGGCACGGCACACGAGGGAAGGGTGGGTGACCAACACTGCGCCTGGCCACCTTCGTCTTCCAAATGATGATGTTTGCACACACGGCACCAGGCACTCATTTGAGGCTGAGTAAACCTCGAGGAAGCCCGGGACAGGTTCAAATGATTGTCACTGGTGTTGGCCAGGAGCAGGAATTGAACTCGGGTCGCTGGGTTTGTAGCGCGGCGCTTACCGCTACGCTATAGCTCCGCACACCCACACACACCCTGGCACACACAGTCAAATTCACACTGCCCTCCCACTCACACACACGCACTGAAACACCAGTGCCAGGTCGTGGCCCCAGGTTGAGGAGGCTACAAAACTCCAGTCTGGGTTTTCCAGTCTCTCAATGACAACGCGTGCAGGTGGATTAATTGAGACGTTAAAATACTCTGGCAGTGGCTTCATCAGCAGCAGCAGTACAGACCTCCAGGCTTACACAGGAGATCGTTAAGATTCACATAGATACCCATAGACTAACGTGGAAACCTATACTCGCATAGAGACCCATAGATTCACACAGAGACCCATAGATTCACATGGAGACCCACTTAGAAACTGGAATGTGCTGTGAGTGGCTTCATCATCAGCACCGGAGACCTATAGGCTCACACAGAGGTCCACAGACTTACATAGATACTCATAGGTCTCACGGACATCCACGGACTCACACGGAGACCCTTTAAGCAACTGGAATGTGCTGGGAGTGGTTCATCATCAGCACTGTCTCCACCAGATGGGTACGTGCACCGAGGCTTGCCACGTGTCCCGTTCAATTCCAGGTTCGTCCACTTTTTTTTAGCAGCTCTCCTGGGACATCTGTAGGTCTTCACCGGACATTAAAAGTCTCGGGCATTTGTCAGTCACATCATAATACCAACAATAACAACAACATCACCACCACACCACTCAAGACGATGCATTTACAAGTAGTTCTCCCCTCCTCCGGCATTGTGAGATACTCTCTTCTTCTTTACAACACACGTGTTGGATTTTTTTTTAGATTAAAGGGGCAAAAGCTCACACAGCTCACGTAGCTTTCCAATGAGAACTGGTCTGGTGGTGCATAGCACTGATACTTCTTCCTAGAGGAGCTGGTCTGGTGGTGTATAACACTGATTCTTCTTCCTAGAGGAGCTGGTCTGGTGGTGTATAATACTGATTCTTCTTCCTAGAGGAGCTGGTCTTGTGGTGTATAACACTGATTCTTCTTCCTAGAGGAGCTGGTCTGGTGGTGTATAACACTGATTCTTCTTCCTAGAGGAGCTGGTCTGGTGCTGTATAACACTGATTCTTCTTCCTAGAGGAGCTGGTCTGGTGGTGTATAACACTGATTCTTCTTCCTAGAGGAGCTGGTCTGGTGGTGTATAACACTGATTCTTCTTCCTAGAGGAGCTGGTCTGGTGGTGTATAACACTGATTCTTCTTCCTAGAGGAACTGGTCTGGTGGTGTATAACACTGATTCTTCTTCCTAGAGGAGCTGGACTGGTGGTGTATAACACTGATTCTTCTTCCTAGAGGAACTGGTCTGGTGGTGTATAACACTGATTCTTCTTCCTAGAGGAGCTGGTCTGGTGGTGTATAACACTGATTCTTCTTCCTAGAAGAGCTGGTCTGGTGGTGTATAACACTGATTCTTCTTCCTAGAGGAGCTGGTCTGGTGGTGTATAACACTGATTCTTCTTCCTAGAGGAACTGGTCTGGTGGTGTATAACACTGATTCTTCTTCCTAGAGGAGCTGGTCTGGTGGTGTATAGCACTGATTCTTCTTCATCATCATCACTGTCGCTGCACTGCAGTCATCAATGAGTCCAACCGCACGCGTTAACTAAGACTGAAAGACCCGGGGTGGAGTTTGTGGCTCTGCTCCGCTCGGAGCTACGAGGCTCCACGATGCCCAGACTCATCCAGCCTCGCAGCCCCGTGTGCCACCGTGCCACCTAGCCTGGCACCGGGCTGTCAGGGCTGCGGCATCGCAGACAGGGAGAGAACGGGCAAGGGATTTGGGTCAGGTTCGGTGACCCACCATCATCGTCAACATCATCAGCATCTTCAATATTATACTCTTTGTTTTTTTCGGTAAAGTCACGTAGGCAAAAAATCAAATAAAAAAAATTGAAAACAACTAAATTAAATCACGACGTTTCGGAGGCAACACAAGCTTCTTCTTTTTTTACCTACGTGACTTTACCGAAAAAACCAAAGAGTATGAATCCTTGCAGTCACGAAAGCTTCAAATCTAGAATCTTCCATATTAGCCTCGTGAGCATCTTCGTCAGAAAATGTTTCTAAAAAAAAAGTGTCACGTTGACAAAAGACAAATAATTCACTACTTTAGCCCACCGGTGTGTTGAAGAGTGAATCCACATTTACAGTTTGAGTACGACGTTTCGCTGGTAAATACATCTAGCATTATCGGGCAATTCGCCAGAATGGTAAAGCCCTCGCTTGCTCACAGGGCTTTACCATTCTGGCGAATTGCCCGATGATGCTGAATGTATTTACCAGCGAAACGTCGTACTCAAACTGTAAATGTGGATTCACTCTTCAACACACCGGTGGGCTAAAGTAGTGAATTATTTGTCTTTTGTCAACGTGACACTTTTTTTTGCTGATTGGCCGTGTCGGGTGGTGGAGGGTTACGACACATTTATAAATAAACGCGATCTAACCCAAAAACCTTTTTTATGAATAATATTGGTCGCGAAAGCCTACGTGTTAAACAGAAAATGTTTCGTTCAAGATCAGCATTATCACTGCCTTCTCTAGCATCGTCAATTAGCATCTTATGCATCGTAAGTATAATTCATTATCATCCTGAGAATCTTTATCAGCGTTATAATAGGTACAGTCCTCTTGGTTCTTTTGGTAAAGTCACGTAGAAGGGAAATAGTAAAATAATAAAAATAAAACATAATAAAATAAAATTATCACGACGTTTCGGCCACAACACAAGCAGCCGTCCTCAGGTGAAGAAACAGAACTGTCGGAAAGACAGCGCTCCAATGAACACTGCTAAGCTTGGCAGCGTCTTATAAGCTGGGTGGGAGGAGCTTTTTAAAATTGCTTTTAATGTTTAGCTAAGTTTAATGTGTTTTTAGTGTTTTTACCATTTGATGTTGTTTTTGCTGCTTTTATGATTTTATGTAAAGTGTCTTTGAGTATTCAGAAAAGTGCTCACAAATAAAACGTATCATTATAGCAGCAAAACACTACAAACGCGTGATGTTGATTCTAAATGTGAAGGGAAATATCGGAGGACCCGGAGAAAAATCCACGCGACCATGGGGAGAACGTGCAAACTCTACATATACCGCAGGCGTCAGGGTCGGGATCGAACCCAGGCACCTCCTGTATACCAGGCACCTCCTGTATACCAGGCGAGGTAGTTAACATCTCGGTACGGTGGCGACCAAGCGGCAACAAACCGACAAATAAACAAATATAAACAACAAAGATTATAGGACGCATCCCATATACACACACCCATATATATAAAAAATATATATTAAAAAATTATAAATTGAAGTCTGCCGAACGGATCGATCAATCGCAGTGGTGTGCGGAGCGGACCTGCAGGTGGAGAGTCCGGTGCACGGCGAGCGTGCGCGACTGGCAGAAGCCCTTGCCGCACTCCTGGCACTTGAAGGGCTTCTCCTTGGAGTGGATGTACCTGCCGGGTAGTGGGAGCCGTCAGCACAACAACAACAACGACGACAACAACAACAACAGCAACAACAGCAACAACAGCAAGAGACAAGCTCTCAAGGCTCAAGTTCATTTTGTTTACCCAGCTGGACACTCAAGACACGAGCAATGAGTCTGATTCATCGTCGGGTTTTTTTTTTGGGGGGGGGGGTGGGGGTTAGAAACATGCGTTTAGAGTATTTGGCTGCTATAAATATCCACGTGATGGGCAACTTTGTTGAGCTATCATTTGTGGCCAGGTCGTTTCCGAAAAAAATGAGCTGGATAAGTCAGTGGGCCTTACCTGGTAAATTAAAAATAGAATAGTTTTAGTAGTGAAAAAAAAACACATGTTGTGTCATGAACCCCTCCTCCACCCGACACAGCCGGTGAATATAAAAAAGTGTCACGTGTCAAAATGTATTAACTGCTTCAGCAACACCACTGGGAGTGTTGTTGTTGGACAGCAATCTCAAAACACAGCACGTATCGCTGAGGATGCCACGGTGGCGAGGTGTAAACTCCCTCGCCTGGTATATGGGATGGTCATGGGTTCACTCCCATCCCTGACACCTGCTGTATATATTTTTTATTTGGAGTTTGCGGTGTCTCTCTCCCCCGTGGTCACGTGGATTTTTCTCCGGGTCCTCCGGTTTTCCCCTACACATTTAGAATCGGCGTGCGTTTTTGGAGTATTTGGCCGCTATAAATATCCACGTGATAAGCCAACTTCGTCGACCAGGTCTGACCAGGTCGCTTCTGAAAAATAACTCTGTAGTTCAGTGGGCCTTACATGATCATATAGAAAATACTGTAGTTTATAGTTTTATTTTTTAATAAAGGCACATTTGTTCCACGCATGGCTGCTAGGAAAATGTTTAACTTGGCAGCTGCGGAGGAGTGTTTCAATGAGTTGATTGCGATCTCTTTACGAGTTGTCTTTGTTATAGTCACCAATTAAAGACGACCCGTTGCATTGTTCAGCGCTTTGTGAGGTTTTTGATTTTGGAAATGTATTAATTATTATAATTATTATTTACCCGGGGAAAGCCTCACCCATTATTACCTCATTCGTTTTTTTGTTTTTGCTGATCCACATTGTGTATGTGTACGTTTGTTGAACTTCTTTCGCACCGTACGTAGCCAACCGTGCTAATCGGAGGTGCTGGGGGAGGGGGAAGGTCAACTAACCAAACACGACTGATATTCTTCTACAAGATAGATATCAAATTACGTTGACACAATCGTATTATGCCATAGAGAAAAAGAATGTTTGTACGCGTCGGTGCCATTATTATTCTTAATGTAGAGCACTATTTAAAAAAAATCTATCTTACAATTTCAGGAACCACCATCTCCTGCACGCCAATACCGTCTAAACCATTTATACCTATGGGAACCTTTGTTTTTGCCAGTATCAAGACGATGAAAACATAAGAACAGGCTTTCCCCATCCCTGTAAATAGAACAGGAGGTGTTAAGATGTTAAAACACCAAACAAGATACCGATCGCATGGCATCAAATCTACATTAGCCACACAATTACACCGTGTTTTGTTAATGACATACATTAAGCTCCTCGATCAATCGCGCTCCATAAACGAACAGATAAAAAAAAACACTCAATAAGAAGAGAAGTGATCTGGCGGGCGGGCTCTCTGCACCTCCTCCCTCCCGCTCGCTCGCTCGCTGTGGCCCTCACCTGTGGTCCCTCAGGTGGTCCTGCCGGCGGAACGCCTTGTGGCAGACCTCGCACACGTAGGGGCGCTCGTCCGTGTGCGTGCGCTCGTGGATGAGCAGATTGTAGGACTTGGTGAACCTCCGGCCGCAGAACTTGCACACGAACTCCTTCTTGGCGCGCGCCGCGTGGGCCGTTGACCCCAACCCCGACCCCGACCGGGCCATCATCAACGACGCCGACGCCGACGCGGAACAGCACACGGAGGCGCTGAGCAGCCCGAACGCGCTCGCAGGGCCCCCCGGCACCGGGGCCGCACGGCCACCCCCCGCGGCCCCCGCGGCAGGAGGCGCCGAGGGGAGGGGCCCCGCGGCCGCCCCGCCGAGCCACCGCCGCTCGCCGCCGCAGCCGCCCGGCCTCAGCGGCGGGCCCAGCGGCGGTGTCGCTATGCTGGGCTGCAGCTTCTGTACGTCCGCAGGTGGATGATGATGATGATGATGATGTGGAGGAGGAGGAGGTGGAAGAGCGAGAGGTGGTGAAGGAGCTGGGTCCGCCCGCGTCGCAGCCGCTGCCAGATTGGCAAAGTCGAAGCGAGGTTGCGGCTGTTGACGTCGCTGCAGATTGTGGTGATGGTGGTGGCGAGGGTCTGACTGCTGCGTCAAGCAGGCCTTGCAGGTCGTGCGAGGCAGCAGGGTGCAGCTGAGCGCATGCGACAATACCGCAGCGGGACTCGCAGACACGGCAGCTGGCGCCTGCAGTGTCAGCCTATTCGTCTGCAGTGACAGCCCATTCTCTCTGCTGCTGCTGCTGCTGTTGTTACTGCTGTTGCTGGAGCTGTCCTCTGGAGATGAGGCCACGTGCTCATGTGGGAACATCAACATTGGCAGAGCGGTTGAGGTGGCGGCCGCCGTGGTCGTGGCAGTAATCCCGCTCAACAAGAACATCTGCAAGTTGTGCTGCTGCTTGTGCTGTTGCTCAGGCTGCTGATGCTGCTGATGATGATGCTGCCCGTGCAGGCGCGTGGTGGTGCTGGTGGTGGTGAGATGGTTGTACGGAAGAGCACTGGTCCACGGAGGAAGGAGGCTCGCGGCTTGCAGGGCTTGCAAGGACGCGGTGAGATGAAAGGGGAATCTTGATCCGTGGACGCCGGAGAAGGCAGAAGCCTCCAGTGACAGCTTAAGCTGCTGATGCTGCTGCTGCTGGTGGTGGTGCTGGTGGTGGTGGTTGTGGTTTGGGTCAGGGTGCAGAGGGAGACGCGTGACATGGAGAGGAACTGGTGATGGCAATGAGCTACCGGTACTTGCCATGGTTGTGGGCTAACAGCGATGGTGCTGTTGATGATGGTGGTGATGGTTATATTGAGTGTTATTTTAGTCTAATGATTATTATGGTGATACTGATGATGAGCCTAATGATGGTAAAAAAATATTATTTTAGTTTACTGATCATTGTATTGGTGATCATGATAGTGATGGTTACAAAAACTATTATTTGACTGTAGCAGTGGTGATGAGAATGATAATGGTGGTAATGATGATAAAGACTATTGTGTTCACTGCTAATAAAATAATAGTGATAATCATTAGATGTAAATAGTCATCAGCTGATTTGCCTAGCTTTTATAGAATGGTAACCAGCCTCACGTGACGATGATGCCTACATTTCGAAGACGTTAGTGATACTTATTTGTGTCTACTGTAAATTAAAGTGATTATGATTGTGAACTTATAACGTTAATAAGATTGTAATTTTGGTGGTAAAAAAATACCGTAAGGACTACATTTTAACCACAATGATCCAGCTATGTTAATGTCAATGAAAAAGTTATGCGAATATAAGCAATGTTGATGATGGTGATGATGATGATTACGTTAATAAGTAGAGAATATAGATTAAATATCTTGATAGTGAATCTGTAATACTAATACAATTATAAATTTGTAATTACATTTTCATCATTTTTAGTGACTAATTTTGTTAAATGTTCCAACTTATGAATATTGGGATTAGGGTTACTATTAATGTTGCTCAGAATTGTATTGCGACTCTTTTGGAAATTCTGATGATTGTTATTCATTTGCGACGGTGATGATGATGATGATGTTTCGTACTCCAACACTGTGGAAGAAACCAATAGACAGCGGTGATTTACTGCACGTAATATTAACAAACGTGAACACACTTTTCATGTACTTCATTTGGTGGTGGTGGTGGTGGTGCTGATGCTGCGTTGGCAGTGACGCACAATCACAAAGGTCAAATAAACAACGAACACTCAACACCATTCGTCAATAACACTGTGGCCGTAACAAAAAATCAATTGGATGTGCGATGGAGAAGGACCATTGCCCCGAAACGTCACCTACTATATATTGATCTTGTAAACGAATTGTATGTGCTGTGCGAGAATTTGTAAGCCACTGGAGCTATGCACTTTTAAATCATCTAGATTGAAAACTAATTTCTTTAGAACTTGCTTTTGTGTTCAGTTTGTTGTCCTTCCCCCGTACCTCCGAATAGCACGGTTGGCTACGTATGGTTCGACATACATATAGAAGGGGCATTGCCTGAAACGTCGCCTGTTATATTATATATTTTAAGGCACACACACACAGACACAGTGCTATTGACGATTGCGTTGAGTGTTTTTTAACATTCGTTGTTCACGATTCATGGAACAAGCTCGGAGCCAACTGGCGAGATGGAGTGGAAGGCAGTGAGTGAGTTAAAATCATCCTGGTTGGGCGTTGATTCAGCCGATCATCCCTCCGGGGTCGATACAACAACAACAACAACACAGTGCGGGGATAGGAACCACTTTGTCGGGAAGTCACACATGGGTTTGTCCTATGGATAGACTCGCCCCCGTCAGAGGAATGTGGAATTTACCAACTAGCTCAAAGCTGTATACTCGGAGATTGCGAACCGATCGCTCGACCGCTGAGCCACCGAATACAACAAAGACAAAGATCACCCGTCTCGCCTGTAACAGATTGTTGGAACAAGTTATGTCAGGGAGCCCCTATTAAGGCGGTCCCGGGGCTTTCAGAGCCGCTTTTATCTCTCCAGTGCTGATTTTAAAAAAAGCGTACGCACATGGCCCGTACGGGGATCGAACCCGCGACCTTGGCGTTATTAGCACCACGCTCTAACCAGCTGAGCTAACCGGCCAGTCAAAACAAAGTTCCCCTATACTAACATAACCTTTAGCAGACTTAGGACACGTGCTGTTTGCGAGCACCTATGAAGCCCGGCAAGGCACACGAGCGGAAGGGTGACCAAAATCGCGCCCGGCCGCCTTTGTCTCCCCAGTGCGGATGTTCACACACCGCACAAGGTTGCTCATTTAAGGCCGAGCCCAGCGATGACCGTCACCAATGTCGGCACATACACATATATGCAGTATATACCCCCAAACACATATATGCAGTATATACCCACACACACATATATGCAGTATATACCCACACACACATATATTTACATTCAGCATAGATACTGCAGTCAAACACAGCACAAGTCGCATAAATTACGTGATTATTACACATACGGTGAATGCATACAATGTTAACACTAATTCAACACAAATGCACGGTAAACAATTACATTTGCAGTAAACATAAATGTTCGAGGTAGCCCATGCCATACATGAAATTTCACTCGATATTTTCGGGGACGCAGTATGGACTATCGGCGTAAGGCACTACCACTAAGAGTGCAAGCTGCGCCTACCACTGCCAATATTATTGTAACCCTACGTTCCTATAATTTCGTGGAACAGTTTGCTTAAAAATTATGAAGACTAAATAAGGGGAGATGGACGAGGTCAAAATCATTTTCGGAACAGCTTTCCGGCTTATTTAGGGTTAAATTACAAAAAAAAAGATTTAATTTGTGATGCTCTTACTACGTTGGCAGTGTTGCACACGTAAAAAAATAACAAAACTGGCAAGTTATAAGACTCCCCTTGGGACTCTACCGGGCAGAAAGTCCCACTGGACAGAGACCCCGTGGGTGGCCCCAAGACACGCTGCTGGAGTGGGACGATGTCGCTCGGCTGGCCTGGGAACGCCTGCACATTCCCCAGGAAGAGCTAAGAGTCTGTGTATATAGTAGTGTAGTGTATAGTGTAGTGTATAGTAGTGTAGTGTATAGTAGTGTAGTGTATAGTAGTGTAGTGTATAGTAGTGTAGTGTATAGTAGTGTATAGTAGTGTAGTGTAGGGTGTAGTGTATAGTAGCGTAGTGTATAGTGTAGTGTATAGTAGTGTATAATAGTGTAGTGTATAGTATAGTGTATAGCAGTGTAGTGTATAGTAGTGTAGTATATAGTAGTGTAGTGTATAGTGTAGTGTATAGTAGTGTAGTGCATAATAATGTAGTGTATAGTAGTGTATAGTATTGTCGTGCGTAGTGTATAGTAGTGTAGTGCATAATAGTGTAGTGTATAGTGTAGTGTATAGTAGTGTAGTGTAGGGTGTAGTGTATAGTAGTGTATGATAGTGTAGTGTATAGTGTAGTGTATAGCAGGGTAGTGTATAGCAGTGTAGTATATAGTAGTGTAGTGTATAATAGTGTAGTGTATAGTGTATAGCAGTGTAGTATATAGTAGTGTAGTGTATAGTAGTGTATAATAGTGTAGTGTATAGTGTAGTGTAGACTAGTGTAGTATAGAGTAGTGTAGTATATAGTAGTGTAGTGTATAGTAGTGTATAATAGTATAGTGTATACTAGTGTAGTATATAGTAGTGTAGTATATAGTAGTGTAGTGTATAGTAGTGTCTAATAGTGTATAATAGCATAGTGTATAGTAGTGTAGTGTATAGTAGTGTATAATAGTGTAGTGTATAGTATAGTGTATAGCAGTGTAGTGTATAGCAGTGTAGTATATAGTAGTGTAGTGTATACTAGTGTATAATAGTGTAGTGTATAGTGTAGTATATACTAGTGTTATAGTAGTGTAGTGTATAGTGTAGTCTGTCGCCAGGGAGGTCTGGACCGCCACTACTCAACATGCTGCTGCTGCGACCCTCACCAGGCCAGGCGGATTGAGAAACGAACGAACGAAAGCTAGTTCATTTAAAATAAACTAAAACTTGCTTTTATTTTACCAGGTAAGGCTCACTGAGCTGTATAGCTCATTTTCAGAAGCGACCTGCCCACAAATGATAGCTCAACGAAGTGGCATAGCACGAGGAATATCCATAGCAGCCGAATAACTCTAAACGCGTCGTGTTCATTCTAAATGTGGAGGGGGGGAAACCGGAGTGCCCGGAGAAAAAAAAATCGACGCAGGCCATGGGGAGAGAGACACGCAAACTTTAAATACACAGGCGTCAGGGATGGGGATCGAAACAACGACCTCCTGTATACCCAGCGAGTTAGTTAACATCTCCTAGTGATACGGTACAACCTTTTGACAATTAAAGGTTTTGTTCGATACGCAATAACTATTCACTTGCCAATTTAAAAAAAAACATACGTGGCATCAGAAAATATGTTTTTTTCAAATGTAATTCTCATCATCAGGTACCACGGTCTTTAGCGCAGTCTCCATCCCATTATCACCCACTCCGCCCCTCTGCCCTCTCAATTTATACGTACTATAAAGCAGGGTCATTGCCTGAAACGCCGCCTATCGTTTCCAATTATTTCGGATTAAGTTAAGCACCGACTATACGCGCGGCATACGCGCGCACGAACGAATCATGACCATCGGCCGTGCTCAAACCGCTGCTGGATGAAGGCAGTCAACCTCTCACGATCCTTGCGATGCGTTTCCGTGTTTGCTCGTCGACAGCGCGCTGTGGCTCTCTCGAGTGGCGGGCACGTGCTCACGCGCTTCTAGAGCAGCGCGCGCGCTGCGGTGTGTGACCACGTGGTAGCCGGGGAGCGGTGGCGCAGTGGTCGAGCGCACTGCGACGCCACTAAACCACCGGCCACCTGAATTCGATTCGCGCCCACAGGGCAACAGCGTCCGACGAACATCTGAACCGGTCCTGACCCTCCCTTAGGTCAACTCAGCCTGCGATGGGTACCTGGTTCGGCGTGCAAACGTCGGCGATGGGGAGACAAAGACGGTGTGGTGGTCCTGGCCACACTGTGTGGTGGTCCTGGCCTAGCGCTTCCATAGGTGATCGCTAATAGCACTTGCCCCAACAGTCTGTTAAAGGCTAGACGGGGTATCTTTGTATTTGCCTCGGTGGTGGTGGTGTGCGTGCATGTCCTAGGTCGACTCAGCCTCAAATGAGTATCTGGTGCGGTGTGTAAACATCGCCACTTGGGAGACAAAGGCGGCCGGGCGTGGTGCTGGCCACCGACCCCCTCGTTTGCCGTGATGGCCTTTATAGGTGCTCGCTAACAGCACTTGCCCCAACAGTCTGTTAAGGCTATACGGGGGATCTTTGTCTTCGTGCATGTGTACGTGTATGCGTGATAGGGTGTGTTTGCTGGTGTGTGTCTTTATTAGGTCATCCCGGGGTCTCTCAGTCCATCCCTTGCCGCTGTCTCATCAGCTGATGTAAATCATTACAAGTTCCATGTATTTGCTCCACAAAGGGCAGTTTACTCACCTCCCCTGAGCTATAAAACCATTTATTACTGTGCTGATACAATCTCATGATAAATAATACCAAAAACGCCGCTATTGTCATTATAATGACAATCGGCCGTGGTAAATGCACCGCTGGATGAAGCCCTCCCACACGTCGCTTGGTCCGTAGAGAGTTGCTTGACCATACTTCACCGCGCTGGTCATTGCGAGTTGGTTGACGACACACAAGTACAGTCTAACCTCATCTTATCAGGGATTTCCCAAAAGTAGGGAGCATCACCATTACAATTATTTGTTGCTGTGATCTTCCCAACTGGCTGTTTTGATCATTCCCATGAGTGTCGCTTGAGTCGGCGATAGGGAAAAAAAGGTACAATGGCAGTGATAGTCATCATATTCTTGGTTGTTTCGGCAAAGTCACGGAGATAGAATCATAAAAAAAAGCTTACATTTTACAAATATATTAAAATTACATAATTTTAAATTAATTTTAATTGTATTTCTTTTATTATTCTTTTTTTCTTCTATCAACGTGACTTTACCGAAAGAACCAAGAATATGAATTC